CGCTTTCTTAGGAACCGATCTGCTTGACCCTCATTCGTCGAAATCGATATATATATATATATATATATATATATATATATATATATATATTGATGCATGTTTCATTAAATAATATAGACATGTTTTGTCTATTTATTTTAAGTAAGTTCCTTTCATATTGTGTGCTAAGCTTAATAACATTATCATTGAAAGACGAAAGGAAATCATCATATTGATACATGTTAAAATCCTATCTAAATTTCGGCTTACATAAGCCATTATCAAAGATGACAATTACTTTTCAATATATCAACCAATGTATGGAACAATAATGATAGTCTGTTTTTGTTGCATGAAAAAATTTTAAAGCAACGACAAACTAAAGTATACGAGACACGGAAATGAAAATTGCGTCGCGTCTATATTATTTAATGAAACGCATCAATGAGAAATTTCTGCCTAAATATACACAATATATATACTGCATAAAAGGTTAATGGTCAGAGCTGAAACTGACCAGGAAACAGTGATATTAAAAAGTGCTCAATATACGTGTGAAAAATAAAAATAACATGTAGAGCTTTTAACTTTAAAATTAGGAGGTCAGTTGAATCCGATTCAAACACACACACACACGCACACACACATACACACACACATATATATATATATATATATATAATCATACATGTTTCGTTAAATAATATAGACAAGTTTTGTCTATTTATTTTAAGTTCCTTTCATATTGTCTGATAAGCTTAATAACATTATGATTGAAGGACGAAAGGAAATCGCCATATTGATATATGTTTAAATCCAATCTACGCTTTTGGCTTACACAAGCCATTATCAAAGATGACAATTTCAATAAATCAAACAACACACGGACGAAACAACAATGATAGTCCGCCCTTGCTGTATGAAAAATTTCCAATTAACGACAAACTCGGAAGAATTATAGAGCAAAACAGAAAGTTTGCTTTTGTACGCAAATGTTCTAGATTCCAATAACTCCGTAAAAAGCCAGGTATCGATTTTCAACTGCATTGGTATTATGGACAGAACTTCCCCTCTAAACTGGTGGAATAGTAATAATTTTCTACTCGAATATATATTGGATAAAATGTTTAAAATATGCCAATCTACAAAATTATTTCCAGACTTTATCCCTATTTTTTTTTTACAGTAGGATCAGTGTCCTTAAGTAGTGCCACTTTCAAAAAGGTTTTTTTGTTAGCTGAATATTTTAATATGCAAAAGCAAAACTTTTAACGCCACTTCTTTAAACTAATCGTCTCAAGAAGTGGTGTTAAAAGTTTTGCTTCTGCTCATATAGAAGAAATATGTATTCCAACAATGAAGGGTCGCATTCTAATGTCTGCTTAGGGAATCATATAGAAAGAAATGCTTCGGTTCCATCAGCTACATCTTTTGTAATGTATACCATACGAACTTATTTGTCATAAATTTTACCCACGCTCAAGAGCCACATAAAGTAAATCGCTACTGAACGAGGTGTGTAATATAACGTAAATTTACGTAAAACTAGAAAGAAGGGAAGGTTATCAGATTAAAGATAGATAGCAATTGACTATTGGCTTGAAGATGTAAAGATTGTAACTTTCAGGTAAGTATCCAAGCGGGAGCATGAAGCAAAAACTGTGTACAAAAAAAAGCTGTGTATTTTGGAACTTCGTCTTTACAGTTTGAAAACGAGGGAAATGTGGGTGATTCGACTCTGTGGATAGCTATGAAATCTAGGCTAGACTTCGTCGGCAACCACACGCTTCCGATCATCGGGATCGTCATAATCTCTCCTAATTCCTTTTCTCACCTATGGTAGCTGTAACGGAGATAACTGTGAAGAGTTGTGTGCAGCAGCCACTGAGAAGTGTGGGTTTTGTAGGCGGATGGGCGTGTCGGGCCGTCCTGACAGCACGTCGCAGATCCTCTTCATGTTGACAGTTGGACTCGAAAATCTCGCTTACTGCTTCGGATTGTCCTACGACAGGAAGTTCGATTTCCAGCAACGGGTTCCCAAATCTCAAGGTTGATGTTAGTCTGTGTCAGGGATGTTTTTGGGCTTCGCATTAGTTGGGAGGAGAGCATCGCCAACAACAAGGTCCTCTCACGGACATCTCTCCCTTACATCAAGGCTACCATCTTTCAACAACGCCTTATTTTTCAAATTTAGGTTACTATTGCGATAAAAAGGAGAAAATAGATGTAAAGGGTGTTTCATTAAGACGGATTATACATAAGACTGTTTCATTAAGACGGATTATATAAAAGGGGGTTTCATTAAGTCAGATCAAAGTCAATAGTAAATAAATCAGTGTTATTGGGGAAAATTTATTCATTTCTCTATTGGATCATGTTATTTAAGCCATGGCAATTATGTTTGGAAAATAATATCGCCCAAATATCCGTCAAATCTGAAAGAAAACGAAAGAAAATCATTAGACGCTTAAAACTTAATACATTTAAAATCGGTGCAAGTTATTGAACACACTTTTATATATATATATATATATATATATATATATATATATATATATATATATATATATATATATATATATATATATATATATATATATATATATATACACACACACATATATATATATATACGAAAGAAAATCATTAGACGCTTAAACTTAATTCACATTTAAAACCAGTGCAAGTTTTCGTATATATATATATATATATATATATGTGTGTGTGTGTGTGTGTGTGTGTGTGTGTGTGTGTGTGTGTGTGTGTGTGTGTGTGTGTGTGTATAGGTTTTATTTTGGACACAGGAATAGAGACACTTTCAACAAAAAAGGAAATAGCACTAATCGATATTGACCTGATCAGGTTATAGACTCTAACGAATTTTTTTTAATATTATTTATATAAGAACTAATGTCCTGTTCTTTGTGGCTGTTATTTTTATCGCATGAAAATAGGGGAAAAGACACAACTTGGGTTCAGTGAGAAAATGAAAGAAAGAAATAAAGAAAGAAAGAAAGAAAGAAAGAAAGAAGTTTTTAACGTTCATTAATATATCATAAATTATAGACTGTTTTTGACATTTCGGAGACACTACTTGGATTCTGTAAGAAAATGAATAAAAGAAAGAAAGAATGGGGAAACAAAAAGAAAGAAAGAAAGAAAGAAGAAAAAAGAATGAATGAAAGAAAGAAAGAAAGAAATTTATATAACGAAGTTATTTACATTATTTATATAAGAACTACTGGCCTGTTCTTAGTTATCCTTATATTAATCGCATGAAAATTGGGAAGAAGACGCTACTTGGCTTCACTGAGAAAATGAAAGAAAGAAAGGACGAAAGAAAGGAAAAAGAAAAGAAGGAAGGGATGATGGAAGTCTTTAACGTCTTTTGTCAATATATCATAAATTAAGAACTATTCCTTTTTGACATTTCAGAGACACGACTTAGTTTCTGTGGGAAAACAAATAAAAGAAAGAAAGAAAGAAAGAAAGAAAGAAAGAATAAACGAAAGAAAGAATAACAAAAAACGAAAGGGAAGATATAATTTTTCGAAATGGAAATTTGTCAATTTCAAATCTTTTCATTTGTACCCACTTCTTAACATAACGACCAGCATTCATATTTATATATTTTGTTAAAATTGTTAAGCTCAAATATTTAACGATGCGATAGTGGGATTTCTACGGATATGTTATTGTTGTAGAACTTGGTGTGAATTTATTCAATCGTTAACATATGAATATTAAAATGGGATGCCGGGAGATTTTCACGGCTTAAAACTAGTGTAAATAATTTCTCATCCCAGAAAATTTAACGAACGTATCCCAAAACCTTGAAGGAGTTGGAGAAATGGCAGTATAATGCTTGACCTATTATCATTTTGAAGAACAACATTCAGGTATGGATTTCAGTTGTAATTTGAACGCGGTTCGCTGGTATCATATTCAGTCGTTAGATTAATTCTGCATCTTCCTGCTCCTGAAGGCTACCAACTAAACCATCAGATTTTTCTTTCATCAACATAAGTAAAGTAACCAGCGCGGATGGTATGTATGCATAATTATAAAAAATTACCGCGTGTCAGATGTGATTTATTTGCATTTCACAAGTAGGTGGAGAACAACAATAATAATATATATATATATATATATATATATATATATATATATATATATATATATATATATATATATATATATATATATATATATATATATATATATATATATATATATATATATATATATATATATATATATGTGTGTGTGTGTGCGCGCGCGTGTGTGTAGATGTGGTACCAAGAGAGGGTGGATATATATAGAGATAAACAAATTGAAATAGATATATAAAACAGACTGCGATATATAAATATGAACAGACTGGATAGATAGATAGATGGGATCAGACCGAAATATATATATATATATAAATATATATATAAATTAGAAATATATATAAAATCAATAAATAGATTTCTATAGATTAATAAATTATCTATTTCTAAATATTATATATATATATATATATATATATATATATATATATATATATATATATAGATAGTCTGATCCCATCTATCTATCTCAATCTGTTCATTTTATATATCGCAGTCTGTTTTATAGATAGATAGATAGATAGATAGATAGATAGATAGAAGCGGACAGAAGAAGATGTATCTATATATATCTCTATATATATATATATATATATAGGGGTGAGAGAAAGGGGGAGAGAGGAAAGGAGGAGGAGAGAGAAAGAGATAGACAGATAGATAGATAGATAGAAGCGGACAGAAGAATATATATATATATATATATATATAGGGAGTGAGAGAAAGGGGGAGAGAGAAAAGGAGAGGGACGGAGAGAAAGGAAGAGATAGATAGATAGATAGATAGATAGATAGAAACGATGGCAAATAAATTTGAAGTCCATCTCGTCATATGTTCATGTGTTTGAGATTCTTTCACGAACAAACTTGACATTCCCGTGCTGCACATTCATTGGTAAACCTGTTCGCAATGAAATCATCCATGCACGTAAGCCAAATTGCATATGGCGCTGACGTACAGACCCGCCGATTATACTCTTTCTCCCTATTGTGTAATGTGAGACTTGGTCGCATCTGTTTTTGCCATTCCTTTTGGAAGCAAACAAAAAGCAGCTGAGACAAGTCATATTTCAGTTTTTCTTTTTCATATTATGCCTTCCGTCCAGACCGTCATTAGTGACGGTGGTAAAAGTTATCATGTAGGATTCTTTTAACGAAACACAAAGACAATGGCGTATTCTGTGGACAGGATTTTGTAAAAAGGGCCACCTCCAAACTTAAAACGATGAACAGACACAGACGGTAACATTTCATCTTCTTCTTCTTCTTCTTCTTCTTCTTCTTCTTCTTCTTCTTCTTTTGATTTCTGTTGTATACACATTTCCTTCCGGGTCCAAACCAGAAACAAAAGGTCAGAAATGGCTTCATGGCATTTTACATGGATAATGCGCTTCGTAATGTGCGAGCTGTACTTGTGAGTAAAATGTTTTGCATTTCTTTAAGGCATGGGCAACCAAGAAACGCTTCAATGAGTCTATCGAACTTTTCCAATCAATACAAGGTTTCCAAACTACAACTGGAATTTTTGATCTTCTTTTTCTTCTTCTTCGTATTATTATTACAATTATTATTAAACATTACCATGTTCTTTTTTTTCTTTTTGGCATCACATCATTTTTTCACTTATTCTTTTTCTCTCTAAGTTTTCAAAACATATCCTCCTCCTTCTCCTCCTCATCTTCTTCTTCTTTTTCTTTCTTTCTTCCTTTCATTCTATTTCCTTTTAAGTCTCTTTCTTCTTCTTTCTTTCATTCTATTTCCTTTTAAGTCTCCTTCTTCTCCTTCTTTTTCTTCTTCTTCTTTCTTTCTTTCTGTCTTCCTTTCATTCTGTTTCCTTTTAAGTCTCCTTCTTTTCCTTCTTCTTCTTCTTCTTCTGCTTTCTTTCTTTCTTTCTTTCTCCCTTTCATTCTATTTCCTTTTAAGTCTCCTTCTTCTCCTTCTTTTTCTTCTTCTTCTTCTTCTTTCTTTCTTTCTATTTCCTTTTAAGTGTCCTTCTTCACCTTCTTCTTCTTCTTCTTCTTCTTTCTTTCTGTCTTCCTTTCATTCTATTTCCTTTTAAGTCTCCTTCTTTTCCTTCTTCTTCTTCTTCTTCTTCTTCTTTCTTTCTTTCTTTCTTCCTTTCATTCTATTTCCTTTTAAGTCTCCTTCTTCTTCTTCTTCTTTCTTTCTTTCTACCTTTCATTCTATTTCCTTTTAAGTCTCTTTCTTCTTCTTCTTCTTCTTCTTCTTCTTCTTCTTCAGACTGCTTCTTTTCAGCTATTTTATCTCAACCTATCTTACTCGTCCCTCGTCTTTCTTTTATTTTCTTTACTTACTGTAATTCATTCAACAATCTCAGAGTTTTTTCTTCTTCATCTCAAACTATATAAACTTCTATTTAATTCTTCTTCTTTCGTTCTATTTCATTTTATGTCTTCTTCTTCTTCTTCTTCTTCTTCTTCTTCTTTTTTAACCATTATCACCCCAAGCAAGGCAGTACAGCCCTAAGACGCATGACGTTACAGGGAGCGGAGGAATTAGGAATAGAAACATTACTAATGACCAGAAAGAAGCCTAGAGTAATCCGGAGGACAGTAGAAATCGATTGACATTGCATTTAATTTTTTTCAGATTAAAGATGGCAGGAAAGCATGGAAGTGGAAGGGAGTTCCACGCGTGCAAAATGCGAGAGATGAAACTATTAGCATAGAATTTACGGTTACTTCAATCAACTAAACTGTTAATTGATGAAACCTTGTCGCCAGTCAAGTACTGCGTTTAAATTTTTTTTAAAAATTCTAGGTAATCTGGCAAAGAGCGATATTTATTTCTGCTTCAAATACAGAAAATGTGGCACAAGGCCAAAAATTGTAAATGGAGAAAAGGACAGTCATCTTCTGTCTTAACTTTAAACTTAGCTAGCCACAAACACTGGACCAAACATACCACACATTCTTACTTACCATTCTTACTACATCCACCATAATACCACATTGTCTTTATAAAAGTCCTAACTAGTCCCCATATGTAGCGTTCATTGTCTGTGGGGTGGGGGAATAAATCAACAATTTTAAAAACTAGCCCCAATGAGTATTTACAATATGAAAACAAAACTATTTGCAAGAAACCAAATAAAATGTTAGTAATAAAAATGGCCACAATCATTAAATCTGGCAGAAACATCAGTTAACTGAACGAAATCATTATTTACATTATTCGGACTATTGTCCTCATCTTTGTCGCCATATTTATCACAACGTTTCGGCCGTTGTACGCTCCAGCCTTCTTCAGGTGGTTGGAATGTCGAAATGAACCCTTTATTTCGCTCACTGGGGTAGACTGTTCTAGTTCCACGTGCCATGTTTGATGGATGTCAGTTATCAGTGATCTCCTGTTAATTTTCCCTCTAAAAGTTCTCCACTTAACCGGGTATTGAACTCACACTTTTTGGGTCTTGCCACTGGATCTAACCAACGCCTTTATCCACTGTGCCATGTGTCCTGTGTTGTGTTAAATATGGCGACAAAGATGAGGACAATAGTCCGAATAATGTAAATAATGTACATAATACCTCATCTCAGAAATATAGACATACTCTGAACGAAATCAATGCGGGACTTTAATAATATTAAAACAATCATTCACTTAAACACACAGTCATTCAGACACACCAAAAAATACGAAAACCCACACGCGAAACGAAAGGCGCCCACATCCACCAGAGAACTGACATCTCTGACCACCTACGAGGATGGGCAATTAAACTAGAGAAAATAGGGACATTAGAAAAAATGCTAAGAGCGATATTTATTCTGTTTGATACAGAAATGTGGCACAAGGCCGAAAAGGGGATTGGGGAAAGGACGGTCTTCTTCTGTCTTAACTATAACTTAGCTAGCCGCAAGCACTGACCCAAACGTACGAAACAATATTCCTTACACCAAAACAACACATTCATTCGTACCTTTCTTACTACAACCACCATAATACCTCTTTGTCTCTATGAAAATACTAACTAGTCCCCATATTTACAATTCGTGGTCTGTGGGGGGAGGGGAATAAAACAACAATTCTAAAAATTAACCCAAAATGAGTATTTACAATATGCATATAAAAACTATTTACAAGAAACTAAAGAAAATAAGATTAGTAATAAAACGCTAAGAGCTAATCCGAAGAATTACCATGAAAATATTTATAAAAAAGACAACCTTGCGTCGATGGGCAAGTGACTGAAGCCGAGAGCCCAGGTCAGGACCAATAACATTGCTGATTCTTCTTTGGATTTTATTAAAGGAGATCTAGGTATATACCAGACCATATATGACAGTAACATTTTAAGCATGAACGAATGGTGGACATAGTTCTGTAAGATAGATTATGGAGAAAAAAATTGTCTCGCCCGGCACAGTGAACCAACATTCTTAACATTAGACCTAGCAATGGATTCAATATAGTATTTTCGCTTCATGTCAGCTGAGAACGTTAACACGAGAAGGCACAGCGAGTTAATTTCCTGAAGGTTAGCATCAGCCGTGCTGAGAGAAGGCAGAGAGGGGCCACTCAGATGATTAATGGAGAGAAGTTTAGTTTTGGAGGCGTTAAAATTGACAAGCCATCTTTTGTTAACGACGGTCTTGAGATCGTTTTGTACAACAGCTGCCATTTTGACATTGTCAGACTGATCAGCCTATACTATCGAGGCAGATGTAAATGGCATTGTTTTCAGGATACATGACAAGTTAAGATTTGATGTCATCGGGAGGGTCGTTAATGAAAATTAAGAGCAGCGGAGGACAAAGGGTGGAGCCCTGAGAGATACTCGCGTTAGCACGAAAGGATCTAGACGATTGTCCGTTCAGGAATACTTTCACACTTTGACAGGAACGACTGGATCAGCCCAAAAATATGTCCGGAGACACCTTAACTTTTCAGCTTGAGGAGAAAACCTGAATTTCAAATCCTGTCAAAGGTTTTCGAGATATCCAATGCTACAACCCGGGCTTCATTGTTTTTATCTAGATCATGACAGACTCTTTCCGCTATTATCGTCAGTACATCAGAAATTGACCTGGTGAAATGAAAGGCATATTGCTTGCCTGAGAAAACGCCCTGCAGTGAGATGATGAACCTAATTCAGAATTGATTAAGCTCTCCAAGAGTTTCCCCAAAAGAGGTAGAAATTTAATAGGCCGATAGTTGGAAAGGCCGGACTGTTCACCAGAGTTCTTAAAAATTGGAATAACAGACGATGACTTTCAGCTGGCAGCAATGCAGGAGGCAACGAAGCATTTATTATACAATTTAGAGAGAACAGGAGCCAGTTCGGGAGCACACTTCTTAATTACAGTGATACCATTGGTTCCACATGCTTTGTCGGGATCAAGGTTAGAGATGATAGCGGAAGCCATGGAAGGGGTTATATACATATCGCTCAAGAAAGAATCAGTTCGGGATTTAAACAGGGAACTCCAGATGAGTCAAGAGTAGAGAATTTACGGGAAAAGCATTCAGCTTTATCAGCAGAGGATGATAACACGTCAAATTAATTGAATAGTGGGGATGGGGAATAAAGACCTTGCACTTATTTAGTACCCTATTACAGAGCCGTCAGTAATAGCGAGTGCCAAAGTTGTTAGAGGATATGTGGTGCCTCATTCTCTCAGAAAACAATGAGATAGTTCCTTCGAGGACTCGCTTACATTTATTACGAGCAGTAGCGAATAGGCACCTGTTATGACAAAAGCTGTCATGCTGGTATAGCTGGAAATAGTAGTTACTGTGTGCTATGGGGATTGAGGACGATTGCACTTTCATCTGTTATTTCCGAGAAGGGATGAAAGCGTCCGTGCTGGCTTTGACCCAAGAAGATACCTCCGTGGCGTAATTTTCGATTGGGAGATTGAAGATATCAGCCCAAGTGTTGTCACGAAGAAAATCCCTGAATTCTGGTAAAGGATAGAGGTCTTGTGGATAGTGGGTACCTGTTTAATGGAGGCTTGGAAGGAAATATCAATAGTTACCAGAGTGGTCCGAGCTACCAAAATGTCAGTATTGCGAAGTTGGCAAGAGTGATGAGAGAAGTTAAGAAATAAATCCACTAGAGAAGCCTGTTGCTTGGTTTGGCTAGTGAAACGAGTATGGGTGTCGGCGATTTAAGTAAGGGATTGGGCAATGGAAAAATTTAATGCCTGTATACCAGCAACATCAGTAAATATAGAATGTTTATTTTTGTTTCTCTGAATTTGTTCCTGTATTCTTCCTCTTCTTCTTCTGCCTACTATTATTCGCCTATTTCTTTCTCTCATTATCTTTCTTCTTCTTCTTCTTCTTCTTCTTCTTCTTCTTCTTCTTCTTCTTCTTCTTCTTCTTTCTTTCTTTCTTTCTTTCTTTCTTTTTTTATATTTCTTTCTCTCATTCTATATCCTGCTTTCCTTCATTATCTTTCTTCTTCTTTCTTCTTCTTTCTTCTTCTTCTTATTTCTTTTTTTTCTTCATATTTTTTTTCTCCTTCTTTATTCCTCTTCATTATTTCTTCTTCTTCTTTTCTTCTTTTCTTTCTTTCTTTCTTTTCTTTACTTTTTTTATTTATTTTTTTCTCCTTCATATTTTCTTCTTCTTCTTCTTTTCTTTCTTTCTTTCCATATTTATTTCTCTCTCTCTTTATTCCGCTCCTCATTATTTTTCGTTCTTGTTCTTGTTCTTCGTTTTTTCTTTCTTTCTTTACTTATTTCTTTTTTTCTTTTTTTTCCTTCTTTATCCTCTCTTCTTCTTCTTCTTCTTCTTCTTCTTCTTCTTCTTCTTCTTTCTTCTTCTTCTTCTTCTTCATATTTATTTCTCTCTTTCTTTATTCCGCTGCTCATTATTTTTTGTTCTTCTTCTTCTTCTTCTTCTTCTTCTTCTTCTTCTTCTTCTTCTTCTATAATACATTATTTTTCTATTCTTCGTCATCCTATTTTCTGAACTTCTTGCCCATTGGGTGATTCAATGAATCCTCAATCTTCAGATAAATCAATTGTTCAATCTCTGCATTTTAACAATGCAATTCAACTTCTCTACGGTAGGCACTTAGGGGTCAAAAAGAAAATTATTTCTTCACTGATAGCAATTCAGAGATTTCACCCTACTCTACCTTAATCTGTTTTCACTTCTAGTAAATCATACGAGATCATACGAAATATTCATGTCCAGTTTTATCATTCGTTTTTGATTTGAGGACCGACAAAAAAGAAAAGAAAAACTATCAGTTAAGTAGTTTTGAAAGACCACTAGATGTGAGAGACGAATTTGGTTCAATATATCCTCAACTTGACAAGTACTTCTTTACTGAATGAGGATCGGAAATATTCACTGTATAATGTTCGATTATGTAATTAATATCAATTATTAA